ATGCATTTATAACAAAATATGCAACAACAAATCGATGCCATTTTGTTGCAAATTCTTTGATTCGAAAAGAAAACTACGTAAAAATTATTTTGAGTTACTGACTACAAACATGCTTTTGCATACAAATCCTTGCCCTGGTAATGAGTAATGTGAATTTAAGAGATATCTGGCACGGAACCTTATATGGGAGCTATGACCAAATATGGGCCGATCGTGAATTTTTTTTTAAATAAAATTTTTGTAAACTAAATTGATATTTGTGCCAAAGAATATCATTATTTGGTAATGAGTTATGTGCGTTTAAGTGATTTTCTGAAGGAGATCTTCTACGGAAGCTATGACCAAATATGGACCGATCGTAAAACAATTTTAAAATTACATTTTTGTATACAAAAGTAATATTTGTGGAAAATTTTGTATAGAAATTTTACAATATAATTTCTATATATATACAAATTTTGGCACAAATATTTCTTATATATATGTATATAAGCAATATTTGTGCCAAAATTTGTATGGATGCCATTGTTTGGTAATGAGATATGTGCTTTTAAGTGATTTTCGGGAGGGGAGCTTGTATGGGAGCTAAGACCAAATATCGACCGATCATGAAAAAATTTTACAGTATAATTTATATATATAAAGGCAATATTTGTGCAAAATTTTGTATAGATCCCATTATTTAATAATGTGTAATGTGCGCTAAAGTGATTTTTGGGAGGGGACCTTGTATGGGAGCTACGGCCAATTATGGACCGATTCAGAAAATGTTTCTTCTATATGAATTCAATTGACATAAAACTTTTACTTGTAAAAATTTGTATAGATATTGTCATTCTACCGGAAGTTATTAACAAATAATGCATTTTCCGGGAATAAGGACATTTATATGGGAGGTGTATAAAATTATGGACCGATTCCGCCTATTTTTAACAGGAATCAAGCTTTCATATAGAAACAATTGTGTGCTGATTTCTATGAAATTATATATCATAGTTTTTGTGAAAATTGTATTAGAATGTGTTAAAAAAGCTTAATTTTTTCGGAGTTTTTTTAAATTTTAATTCATAACTCTTTCCGATGTAAACCGATTTTGCTCATTTTCAATACCAAACAGCCTAGGACAATAGTGAATCTTTTGGCCGAATTTCATTAATTTATTTAGCATTCTTTTTACATGAGCGTTTTTTACATAGACAGACAGACTGACGGACAGACGGACATAGCTATATCGACTCAGAATTTGATAAGGATCCGGAATATATATACTTTGTTAGGTCTCAGATGAATATTTCTTGGTGTTACACACGGAATGACAAACTTATATATACCCTCTATCACCACTGATGGTGGTGGAGGGTAATAAGAAGGGATTTCCTAAATGAGGGTTATATGGGGGTAGGGGTAATATGGGCCATCCTTATAAAATTTACGTCTACATTAAAGCTATTTATGTAGAATATCGCCGCAATATTAGTATTTATAAATGAATTTGAACCATCAAATCCTTTTATAAAGGGGACTTTATATGGGAGATGTGATCAAATGAGGGTCGATCAATACGAAAATCAGCAGTGTCATTAAAACTTATATAGAAATAAGTTTTGCCGATTTTTGGTGTGATACAAGAATAATTAACATATTTATGAGCTCAAAAGCAATATTCAGGGGTGCGATTGTATTGGGGTTATGCGAAATAAAGGTCAGATTTTAACCATTTTCAATAGGATTCGTCCTTGCAAGAGTATGTGCCAAACATAGATAGACGTATGGTGTGATAGGCTATATTGTTTTCCAAAACTTGGATAAGGGGTATGTGGATGAAAAAGGGACAATATTCGTACTTTTGGGAGTAAATATTAATTATTGTCTATACTCAACATACATGAGAATTTTTCATTAAGCATTAAAATTTCATTACCATTTATAGAAAAAATTGTAATGAAAAATATTTTAAGTACCATTTAATGAAAATTATATTTTTTTCATTATAACTTTTTTTGATAATGGTAATGAATTTGATAATGAATTTTCAAAAACGAATTTAATTAGTATTTATAATTGTCGAAAAATATATTAAGGAAAATTTTTCGAAGATTCGAGGTTTGAAAGCTTTTAAAACCAGTTCCCGTGGCCCAAATTGGCTGAAATTTTGCAGTCATAAGTACATCTGATGACAATACAATAATATGTTCGAATATTCGAAATTAAGTTCGAAAATTCGAAGCTATTTTCGAAAATTTTTTTATGTTTTTAAATTAATCTCTGTGTCATAAAACCTAAAAAAAAAATTTCGAAAATTCGAACTTGTGTTCGAAAAATTTTTAAAGCTGTTAAAACTAGTTCTTCTAGTCTGAATGTGCTGAAATTTGGCATACATGATTTCACCTAATGAAAATACATTATAATGTTCGGATATTCGAAATTAATTTCGAAATTCGAACTAATGTTCGAAAATTTTTAAAATCCATTGAATAATGGTAATGAAAATTTATTTTTAAATAATTACTAATGAAATCGTTTCATTAAAAAGCATTACCATTAGAGAAAATAATGCTAATGAAAAAAAAATAATTATAATTTTTTTCAATTTAATGCTAATGAAATCGTCAATTAATTAGTCGATATAATTAACTTCTCCCATGTATGATATTCAAGCACAAACATTTCTGATTAAGCTTTTAAAGTGTCTAAAATATTATTATTATTATGTAGCAAAGTTCCGTTTCGAAAGAGGGTATGGCTAGTATTTTTGGTACTGTGTTGGTACCTTTTATAAATATTATTCAATGAAATTTCTTTTATAGCTTTATAATAAATTGTAAGGAGTTTCTTCATAAGGACCACTTCAGCATTTTTTGAAACATGAAGAAGTTAGGGAAAAATGAGCAGATTTTTTAGTTTACTCTGACGGGAGAATACTTAAGTATAATGTTATGAAACCACTTAAAACCCCGGGCAACACCGGGTACAAAAATCTAGTTATATATAATTATTAGGCTTCGCGCAATATTTTTGAAATTGTGATATCATACCTTTTATGACAGTTTTTGGAACAGCGCTAATATTGGCGTAATTATTTTGTTAAAATTTCAACTCCTTCATCTGCGGCCAAAATACCGATTTTGGGCGACATTTTTTTATAGACCGAAAACTGCTGTACATATCTCAAATCTGACTTTAGTATACTATTCTACAGGAACATTTAAGATATATAAACTTAATTTGACAGAATTTAGATGCACTATAAATGCATAAGAGCAAAAGAAAAAAATGCAATTTTTTAAAAATAAAATTCAAAACCTGATTTTATCATTCGTAAAATAGTGTTAAAATTTTTAATTTATTGTAATCCCTTTAGGAGTTATGATGATAACCATCAATGTTGGCTTGTGGTTTAATAATTTCCCATCAAACAATGGTGTTTTTCATCATCATCTCCGAATTTAATAAAACTCCATCCAATTAATGTTCCATATATAATTTGTATAATGACAAATTTTGGGCCTTATAACTTTCGCGGTTTTCGAAATATAGCGTTGTAAAGTTTAAGATCTGAAAATTTAAAGTCTCATCACATCTAAAGGTTAACGATAAAATTTTTGATTTTGCACCATTTGTCTCAGCAAAAGCATACTTTGATTATGCACAAAGAAAAAATTTTTTGAAATATTTTTTGAAAAAAGTGCATCTTTGGATAATACTAAATGCACTTTTGAAGCATTATAAAAGTGTGAAATTAAGCTCATTCTTATTGATTTTTCCTATAAAATCAGTTATTAGAGCATGATTTCCTATAAATTCTACAGTTTCTGCTCTGTAAAAAATGTCGCTCAAAATCAGTGGTTTCCGCCTCAGATATGCAGAGGAAGGAGTTGGAATTTTGAAAAAATTATTACAGCATAGTAATCACTGATACAAAAACCTTCTAAAAAGTTGTGATATCACAAAAACGGGAAACATTTTATTTTTTGAAACGAAGCCTAATAATTATATTTGTATTTTCATTTATTCAAGCAACTAATAGCCTACATTTTATCGGTTAACCGATCGACGGTCAATCGTTTGAATACCTAATAGACACGTGTAACAATACATACATACAAACAACAAACATATGCATTAATACATACAGACATACATTTATATATAAAACGACAAATACAACAATACGTACATACATCAATGCATAAATCCATGCATCAATAGATTAAAACATATGTATGTACATAAATACATCAACACATGCATCAATACATACTTACATTAGCATATGCATCAATACATACTTTCATTAGCTCATACATATGTACATCGACACATTCATTCCTTCCATTATTCATTTATAATAGAAATGATATGAATAACACAAATAACTAACATATTTTCATTTATGTTCTCTTTTGTATATTACACTACAACATATGCATTTTAATTTAGAGCAATTCTACATACTACGATTTTTATAATCAGCTCTTATGTCCTTATAAAAGGACTTCAAAGTTTATATGTACTGTATGACACTAATATTAGTATCAAATGAAAGCTGGGAATCTGTAGATACTATCTATATTATTTATTAACCTCATTTAGACAAAAAATCGAAAAATAAACTAAATTTAAAAATGCTCTCATTCTGAAAACAAAAATGTTTAACTACTTTTTTGTAACAAATTTTCTTAAGCTTCCATATCTTTTTTAATTCTGATGGATTTAAATAAATAACATTATTTTGAAGCAGATCAATATTGATACCAATTTGTTTATATAAATTTGGAATTCCATCTTTTGAGATCGTATGTACTTTAAACTTTAAGGTCATTTTACAGGGCCATAAGAGCTGATTATAAAAAACTGAGTACACAGAGTTAATACTATGGTCCACAGTTTCTTGTACATGTAGATTTTTTCATGTGTGAAAATGACTGTTGCATGGTAATATAAATATTTTTTGACAAAGTCAACAACCAATCCAATAGAAATGACAAAAATATACTTACGTTGCATTTGCAAATCAACAGACTCCTGTGCACTACGAATAGCACGTAAACTTGCCAGTCCATTAATGTTTGAACTGGATGAGCAGCTAAAGTTTTTGAAGTCCACGCACGGATCGAAATTCCAATTGAGTTTTGCATGTATACTTGACGCTGCTATTTTACACACAGGATCTAAGCACTCAGGAGGCGGAGCTGCTGTCGGCATACAATCTTCATCGTCTGAATAACAATCTCTTGGCAGTTGTGATGGTGCAGTGCTTATTAAAAATAATATTGGCGATGCAACAAGCAAAGAAGTAACTAACAAGGTTGCAGTAGTAATTGCTATTTTATGAACAGTAGCTGAAGTGCGCAGCCATATGCATGGTGCACAACATATCCAACCAAGGGCCGTATTCTATTAAAAAAACAAAGTGTTATAAATGTGTTATTACATCCTGTAACAATTTTGAAAAAACTTTCACACATAAAAAAGTTGATATGCACGTGAAACTAGATTCTGCATACTTTGATTTTTATAATCAGCTCTTATGTTCTTATAACAGGACTTCAAAGTTTAAAGAACTTACAGTTTCAAAGGAATATTTTAAATACTTTTATATGTTTTATGATGCTAATATTGGTATCAAATGAAAACTGGGAATCTGTACATTCTATCTAAATTCTTTATTTAACTGACTTAGACAAAAAATCGAAAAATAAATTTTTTAACTACTTTTTTGTGACACATTTTCTTTAAGCTTCCATTTCTTTTTTCTGATGAATTGAAATAAATAATATTATTTTGAAGCAGAGGTTCCTAGCTTCATTTCATATTAACATTAATTCCAAATGGGTTATATAAATTTGGAATTCCATCTTTTGAAATCAAATGTCCTTTAAACTTTAAGGTCCTTTTACAGGGGCATAAGAGCTGATTTTGAAAAGCTGAGTACACAGAGTTAATAGCAATAGTCTACAGTTTCCTGTACACATCGAATTTTTCATGTGTGAAAATGACTGTTGCACGGTATTATATATTTGTATATATGTATACAATAAATAATATTTTAAAAATTTATTTTTTTTAAAATTTATTTTTTGAGATTTTAACTACTTGTTTGATTTAAGTGGTTTACTGGCTTATAATTTTGATATAAATTTGCTTTGCTTATAGAAATACTAGATTTTTGTACCCACCGTTGCCCGTGATTTTTAGTGATTTATAATATTAAATCTATAAATCAATGTATGCAAATTAACATTAACTTAGCTTTTTACCCCTGAAATTAATATGTCAAAATTATCATATAAATTCAAAATATAAAATTTGGAACAACTTTCACAACATTTACCAAAAACACACATTTTCATCCTTTTCAGTCCCAAATAATAGATTTCTGGAAAATACTGCACACATATTTATCTTTTAGTTTAAGTTTTTCAAACTTATTTTATTCAATCAGTTGCAGACAAAATATGTTACATTCGAAATAACTACTAACTAAATTGTTAGGCTTGAATGGTAAAAAATTACCTTTAAAATTTATAATTTCATTAAGCTATAAAAATATTAATACTTGATATTTCTGATTCCTAATCATTTTCTCCTTTAAAGCATGATTTAAACTCTTCAAAGCATTTAAAAAGGTACTTTAGTAAAAATTCAGAAAGATAAAATGAAAATATATTTACTTAGACTAATTAATAATCGTTGACTTAGAGTAAAAATACAAATTTTTCCCCTGTTTCCCCTTTCTAATTCTAAAAAGCTTCCCAAAACAGTATTGAAGCGTGTGGTTCAAATTTCATTAAATTCTGTTCAGTCGTTAGTCGTAATTGCATCACAAAAAGTACAAAAAACACAAATATTTCCTGTTCAGTTTAAACCTACCCAGCAAAAATTTTCATTACCTAGTAATCTAGAAAGTAATATTGGAATCACGTGGAAACTAATTACTTTTGGGGTGAATAACTAATTATTTTTGTTCGACGAGGTTCAAATAATATGTACCTACCTTAAACAAATTAATAAATGGTTACTAATTTGATAACAAAAACTTTGCGAAATAACTAGTTACAAATAAACCTACAAATATGTTATGTGATAGCTAGTTATTTTGGGCCAACTTTGTATGTAGAAAACAAAAAATAAACAAATTCTCGGCCGGGATTTGAACCCAGGCATTCAGTTGTTTTCTGTGTTTCTCACTCCAGCCGCTTACTCAATGCTCCATTAACATGTTGCTTTTCGTAATTTTGAGAACGGCATTTTACAAAAATATATAAATGAATGTCATTTTGAAAAAAAAAATAAGCAGTATCCAGCAGGGCTCGAACCACGAACCCCCTGTTTGTTAAATAAACGACCTAGACAATTGAGCCATAACAAATCCAAATTGTTTTGTTCTTTACCAGTAATAACCTATTCAGCTAAATAAAATAATGTGGATGATAATGAACACTCATTACCAAGTAATGTATGAAATAACTACTGGCTATTACCAAAAATTTCAGATTTTTTGCTGGGTACCTACTAAACCTTTAAAATGGGTAAAAAATTGTTGGGTCCCTTTGTGTATGTTGTTCTAAAGCAACGAAATTTGTTTTGCAATTTTAAAATGATATGAACTTTTTGAATTTGTTGAATATACTCAAAATTGTATGTTTACAAATACAGAAATACAATTTGCTGGAGTACTCTGTCATTGTGATCGTAGCATAATTTGGCAAAAATACTGATATTTGTAAACATACAATTATCATTTTAAAATTACAAAACAAATTTCGTTGCTTTAGAACAACATACACAAAGGGACCCAACAATTTTTTACCCATTTTAAAGGTTTAGTTTGAATTAACAAAGAGCCTGATATCTGGAAATTTTTAGCTTCCTAAAATATTAATTCTTAAAATTTTAAGTTTATAAGCAGAAACTACTTTTGTTTCTTCTAAAAAAATTATTTGGAGCAAAATGTAATTTTAATTTTCTGATTTTTTGGAAAAAAGATATAACCAATTGAAACTTCTAAGTAAAGATCTATCTCTGTTTAAAACTAAATCGTCCCAGCCATTTAGGTATGGTTCTCTAAATATACTTTTCTAAAATATACTTTTTGACTGATTACGGCAAAATACTCAAGTATTTACTTCTGGTCCAACTTTCGCAACGAATCTTTCCCAATACATATTTCTGACAGCTAAATGGAAAGCGTTTTTAAGGTCAAATACAAATTTTGCGAGTTTTCGTTGTTTCTCCCAATAATAAAAATTCCTGACACTTTAGATGGCTAAATGGAAAATATTATCGCGTTAGAATATACAAAAATCAGTTTCAAGCACAAAGGTGCTGATTTTTCCTCTTTTTCGCCCTTTTCCCAATTTTTGTTATCCATTTTGTTCCAACTTTCGGAAAACAACTTTGGAAATACCCTTTAAAATGCTAAACCGAAAATATTTGCAATAGAACAGACAAAAATAAGTTTTTATGCACCAATTTTGCACGTTTTACGTGGTTTTCACCAACTTTTTATCCCATTTAGTGCAATTTTCGAAAAATAATATAGCCTATTGACGCTTCCAGACATACGGCCAATTATTGGTCCTAGCTAAAATTGTCCAAAGAAGTTCAGATAGCTATTTCTTCCATGTTTAATTTTTAAAAAATTACAACAATTTGTTTCCAATAATTTTTTTACATTTTTTTTTTCAAAAACTCCAATTTTTTATTTTTTTCCTCAAACGAAAGCTTAGACAATTTACTTTAAAAATATTGTTTAACTTAAGAATAAGATTTTTTCAATATTTGACACTTAATTTCCCCCTATTTTTTCAAAATGTGCGTTTTTGTTCTTTTTTTTTTGCTCAAGTGAAAGCTTAGACCACTTTCTTTAAGATCTTTATAGTTAGAGGGTTATTGATTTCAAATTTCGGAAATTTGATCAGAAATAACTTTCGATGAACTCGGAAATAATAATCGCAATTTACTTGATTAAAATTAAGCAACAATTTGTAATAGTTTTGGAGATGCTGTTAAAATAATGGTCTTTTTGACCATAGACTAAGCCGAGTAAGCGTTATCCAATTTGAATCTTATAAAGATAAACATAATATTTTTTTTATAAAATGTTTCAAAACTAAAAAAATTCTTATATTTACTTTTACGTGTCTTCAGAATCACAAAATTCTCGGGGGAAATTTTAATAACTCAAAACTCGTTTAACCAATTTTGAGTTTTTCTATCTTTTTGGAAAGACAATTTTATAGACATTACGATTTTGCTATAAAATGGTGCAATAATTAATACTTAAAGCAGTGTTGCGCGTTCATATTGTTCAAATTACGAAGATTTTCGGCAATTCACACGTACACTACCCGATCGTAAGCAAAACTCACAGCAAGAGCGTAAAAATACAAAAAATTGTCTTCAGTTGCTTAACAGCATTCTACAATGTAGGTGGATGTCGCTTTGTTTCAAAAATTGTAAAAACAACAACACAATTTGTAAACAAGAGAACTAGCAGCAGGGGGCGTGGCACCTCCCATATTAATTAAATACACAAATTCGATTATCTTGGAAACTATTAGAGTTAAAAGCACGAAGAACTTTAGCATCCTTGTAAATATTTTGGGTAATAAATTGGCGGAATACCAATGGGGGGAGCGGCACCTTCCGTATGAATTAAATACAACAAAATATTTTATCTAAGAAACTAAAAGAACTAGATTCCTAAAATTTTGCAAAAAGGACTTTCATATTCATCTGAACATTTTGGGGGAAAAAGCGGACTTTCATCAGGGGGTGGTTTGGAGCCCCCATATGAATTATATAGAAAAATTTGTATATCTGAGATGCTGTAGAAGCTATAATCTTCAAATTTTACATGAAGAACATTCATGTGAACATTTAGAGAAAAATGGGCGGACTTTCAATGTGGGGATTGGCCCCTCCCATATGAATTAAATACAATACAATATTATTTACATTTTTCATAGCTTGCATTAAAATCCTTATTAGCGTTCGGAAAAATTGGCGAACTTGCAATAATTTGAGTGGCATCTCCCATGTGTAAGTGGGTTTTTTTGCTTTTAGGGTAGCAAAGCACACTGGGTATAGCTAGTCTATACAGTCTCTTCTTGTATGTCTCAAAGGAACTCTAAGCTACTTTTTACTTCAATATTTTAAGTGGGCGACGTGCCACGCCCACAAAAAAACAAGTATTAAAAGTCGCATATCTCAGAAACTATGGTGGGCGTTATTTGTTTGTTTGTTTGGACTTTATAGACGGCTAAACGGATGGAGCGATTTTTCTGAAATTTTCATAGTGTCTTCCTTTACGTCTGGAAGGAACTATATGCAACTTTTTACTAAAATTTCAATACTTATCATTTACAAAATAAGTATTAAGAGTCGCTTAT